CCTAGTGTAACAAAAGCCAGCACCATCATCTTCAAATATGAAAGGAGCCCTTATGTGGATAGATTCTTCAAGAGGTCAAACATTTACTTGACTGGTTCTAACGACTGCAGCTGCTTTCTGTGTACTTTGTTATATTCAAATTGAACTTTCTATTGAATATAATTCCCCACTCAGTCAAGATCACTGAAGATAGTACTTCATCAATAGAATTCAGAAGCCTTGTTATGATGATTCTTCAAGTTGTTTAATTTATAATGTGAGAGAGAGAGAGAGAGATGGAAATTTGGAATGAGATAGTTTTGTGCTCATGTATATTGCTCTTGATCGCCTAAAAAAAAAGGACAAAAATAAAGCAATATTATATTATGTGTATAGCCCTTGATTTGCTTTCAATTCAATCACCTTAAAAGTCGCAGTAAATCATGAAGGGATTGGTTTGCTGATGAAGCTTTTGAAACCCACATGGTCTTAATGATTTTACAGAGAAAAAGAAAGACACCTTCATTCATTCACTATATTTTTAAATAATAAATAATTATATTTATTGCTTTTGTTGTATTTAACAATGAATCTACAAATTGCACACATGTGCATGTTTGTATTGTTTAAAGGTGGGTGGTCACATTACACACCTTTGCCCTTACAAATCTGATGTCCCAAAGAAAGCAATCGTTGACAGTGGTTGTGTGGTCATTTGCAAGGTTTGCGGCTGCCGCCACTTTAGAGGCTCGTGTTGTGCCAAATGTGGCATAAGCCTAGGACGTGCAATCCTCAAGGATTGTTCAATATGTAGGAAGCTTGGTGAGCACATGACTTCTGATTGCCCGAGCCACGAGAGGGAATATTATCCTTATGTTGTTTTTAATGGTGACCCTATACCGGTGCTTTTTCTTTTGCTAACTTCAACTGTAGTCTGTAGCTACATGAAGTTTTTAAATGTTAGCAGTACGTATTTGAATGAGGATATATAGCATAGTAAACGGGCTGACTGGCTTCTTCTCCTCACGTCACGTGAATAATCTTGTGATAACCACACTCAGAATTCCTAAGAGTTGAGTTCCTTATCTGTCTCATTTGCTAACTTCAACTGTAGCTGCATGAAGTTTTTACTTCCTCAGTTCCAAATCAAATATTATATTAAATCATTATGCGACTAATTCGTATAAAGTCCAACATCCACTAAACCTCTTAATGGCAGATCCACAGAGGAGCAGAAGGGTGATCAAGTGACCTCCACAAAACCGGAATCCGCCATCTGAGGGAAGCATTGTGACCCCTTCAACTGCTAGATCGGCAATGAACTATTTTGTCATTTGTTTGTTGTCTTTGTTGAGGTAGCCTCAGTAATCATCTATTTTATATTCATCAGCTGGGGATGCTTCCGAGTTGGAGGACAGGCGGTGGATCTCTCTGTAATTACAAATTTACAGCTATGGGTTAGCAGAGGCTTTGATTGATGGGATTGAAGAAGAGTCTGAAATTGTTGGGATGTGAGGGTCTTGAGGATCAAAGAGTTCCACGACCTGGCCATAAGAGTTGGATACTTAGATTGAGAGAGAAATTGAAACGGTGCAGGATGTGATAGCCTTTGTTTTGTTTTCTGTTGTTGCTAGCACATAGGATACCTAGATTAACGGGTCCTTTTGAATGCTTAAATTCACCTAGTTTTCTTCTAGGTCTGCAGGGGTTTGATAATTGTTTGTTGTATGTGTGTGGTATGTGTATTGTAATCTCAGGTCCGTGACTAGTTGCTGATTAGTCATACATTGTTCAAGAACATTGTGTTTATTCTATCCTTCTATACTCTTCTTGTAGTTTAAATTTATCCCCTTCGCTAAGTACCATTTTCAAACATACTTTATATAATGTAAAGTATCTGTCTTTTTTTCTTATTTAGTTGGACCATGAATTTCAGGACTCATTTATATATTTGTTACATGTAGGTTCATTTGAACTCTTTAACTAAGCACTCACTGGATTCAAACTTTCTCTGTGGTTAATGAAAGCTCGTTCATTTTATCATTTAGAAAAAGCTGTATCTGTATAAATTAATGGCTTGGTCTGGCAAAATAAAGCTTCATGTTATTTTAGGTTGCGATGCATAATGCATCAATCAACAACACGTGAAATATTGAACGACTTCGGACATCTAGTTCTAGTCTATATTGGATTCATATCATCAGTACAGCCAAACCTTTTCAATCTTGTATATATTATCGGT